TAAAAGAATAAAGTAAAAAAAATCAAATAAAAATAAGCGTTAAAAGGAGTAAATAATAAAAGTCATTGGGAAAACTGGGGAAAGTCACAGAAAGGTGGTGACATACCCGAGATCACCCAGCCAGTCAGGGACAGAGGAAGGATTCGAACACAGAGACACCTGACTTCGAATCCAGCCTTGGTCCAGTTTTCCCGGGTTGTCATGAGATGTGGAGCCTGAGGCCAGGCACAAAGCACACTTGGGAAGGCTGGCTGCCTGACCCGGGTGGGAATCCCCACTTAGGTTCTCTCAGTATACGTCCTGGATCGGCCCTCACACTGGCAGGAATTTGGGGAGCCAGGCGGGAGTCAGGATGATTGAAGAAGCACCCCTCTCTAGAGGTTCACAGTCCAAAACAAGAAGGCAGGGAAGCCAGCTCCATCCCACCCCAGGTCCTTTGCACTGACTGTTCCCTCTACCTGGAATGTTCTTCCCGCAGATACCCACCTAACTCCCTCCCTCTTCCCCTTCTCATCTTTGCTGCAATGTCATGTTCTCATGATGCCTTCTCTCAGGATCCTCTTTAAAACTGCAACCCTCTCCCCTGCCCCAGACACCCCACCTCCTTCCCTTGCTTTGTCTCTCAAGCACAAAAATATGCATTTTTAATTATTTATCTTCTGTAGTGTCCGCCTCCCCCACTCAACTGTCAGCTCCACGAGGGTGGGCTTTTTTGTCTGCCACATTCACAGCTGTTCCCCTGGTGCCTAGAACAGTGCCTGATACAAATATTTACTGAAGAAACACATGAACACAGAGATCAGAGTCCCCGATAAAGTGGGTGCTCAGATCAGCTAGCGGCCACTGTAGCTGGGGAGAGTAGAGATTTCCTGGAGGAATTAGCATTGGAGGCAGATTGGGAGGGTTGGGGAGGAATTAACAGGCAGCAATGCAGGGAAGGGTATTCCAGGCAGAGGGAACTGCCTGGGCAAAGGAATGACAGCTGGAAAGCTTGTAGAGGAAGCAGTTGGGGAGATAAGGGCAGCAGGGGGCAGCAGAGAGCAAAGCGAGGCAGGCTGGCAGAGGCTGAAGGGCGCGGACTTGAACCTGTGGATGGGGAGGGGCCATTGAAGAGTTTCAAGCAGGGAATTTTGAGCAGTTTTCAGCTGCCAAAAGATGAGTCTGATGAGGGGGTGGATTCCAACAGCTCTTTGGCCAGGCCCTGGCGTTGCATTGGGCATTTCAGGTGCGTCCAACTAACCTCTGTCTTCTTAAACCGTGCCCGGAGAGTCTTCATGGCTAGCCTCTGACGTTTCTCCTCTTCCCAGGCCACCTGGGAAAGGCCAGAGAGATGAGGGGGTGAGGGACCCAGCCCTGGTGGACGGGGGGTCCGGCTGCCTCCCTCTCCTCCAAAGGACCACTTCCTCCTTCATGGGTAGTCCCAGCCCCTAGAACAGGACCAGTGGTCCAGCTCCTATCCACTGTGTGTCCTTCGGTAGATTGCTCGCCTTCTCTGTTTCACGTCCCTCATCTATAAACTGAGGGAGATAACCCCCTCTTGATGGAGCCCTGGTGGCATAAACAGTTAAGTGTTCGGCCACTAACCCAAAGGTTGGTGGTGCGAACTCACCCAGTGGCTCCATGGGAAAAAAGACCTGGAGATCTGCTCCCGTAAAGATGACAGCCAAGAAAACCCTATGGGGCAGTTCTACTCTGTCACATGGAGTCACTATGAGTCGGAATCGACTAGATGGCACCCAGCAACAACACCAATACCCTCTCCACTGACTCGTGGTCAGTTGTCAATGAGGTTTCTACCACAGAGCCTGGTACACCATAGGAGCTCAATAAATGCACCTCACCTGGTCCCTACCATTTAGCCTTAGGACGTTGTCCCTTCCTCGCCCACAGCCTCTGCTGGAGACCCTCTTCCCCAACTCCAGCTCCTGGTATTTCCTATTATCCAAGCATATCGAGCTTTTTCCAGTCTCCAAGCTTTTCTCTTTGCTGTTACCTCTGCCTAGAATGTCTTCTTATTGTCTTTCCCTGGCGAACTCCTACTCATCCTTCACAACCCCATTCCAAAATTCCATGTTCTGATTGCCTTGCCTCTCACCTGCAGGTAGAATCCTAACTCCTCAAATTGGGTTACCCCAGCCCTGGATCCCTTCTTCTGCCCCAGCCCTGGCTCCACAGGCTGGGAGTATCTGGACCAGTGTTGTCTTCTTCAACAGTTAGAGGCTCCTTGGGGGCCAGGCCCAGGCTGAGGTCTGTCTGCACGGAGGTGTGTTTTTGGATAGTCAGAGACAGCATCCTTGCAGCTAACTCCCCTTACACAAGGCTGGCCTCTGCATGGTGACAGCATGGAGGCAGATCACCCAAAGTGGTGGAGGTCTGGGGTAATGGCTGCATGTGTGTGCGTGCACACAGGAGTATGGGGCATGTGCACCCATGCGTGTCTGTCCACCTCGGCCTGTTACATGCATGCCTGTGTGTGAAGCTCAGGATATCTCAAGGGGCTGTTCTGCAAGGTGTGTGACTGGGGTGTCTATGTGTGAGCAGGATCTCTGTGAAGCTGTAGCATTATTTGTCTGCCTACCTTGGAGGGGGAGTGGGATGGCCTCTCACCTGTCCACCTGCCTGTGAATTCTGCAAGCCATTCTCCACCCATCTACCCACCCATCCACTCACCTGTGCATCCATTCTCCTACCTAAGCACGGTACATCCACCTACTAGCCACCATCCAACTAAGCCACCCATTCACCCATCCATCTACCCACTCACTCATCCAATTACTTACCCATCCACCCACCTGTCCATCCACCTACCATCAACCCACCCATCCATTCACTCACCTACACTCCTATGTACCCACACACCTATGCACCCACACACCTATGCACCCACACACCTATCAACCCAACCACCCACCCATTCATCCCTCCAATTACCTACCCACTCACCCATCCATCTACCCAACCACCCACCTTACTACACCCATGCACCTTACTACATCTACCCACCCACCCACTGACCCATCCATCCACCCCCCCCACCCCTCCATCTACTCATCCATCCACCCATCCTTCGTCTACCATCTATCTACCCATCCACCACTCTTCAACCCAACCACTCACTGACCTTCCCATTCACCCTCCCACCTACCCATCCATCCATCCATCCACTCACCCACTCATTCATCCACCCATCCTTCTTCTACCATCTACCCATCCATCCATCCAACCACCCCCTACCCAATCCATCCATCCACCGTCCTACCCATCCATCTACTTACTGTCCATTCATTCATTCCCCATCCACCAATCAATGTATCGCCACCCCAACCCTTTTTTCTACCCTCTAATAAAGGTCTCTGAAAACCCTGGTGGCACAGTGGTTAAGAACTACGGCTGCTAACCAAAAGGTTGGCAGTTTGAATCCACCAGGCGCTTCTTGGAAACCCTCTGTCCTATAGGGTTGCTATGAGTCGAAATCGACTCTACGGCAATGGGTTTGATTTTTTTTTTTCTTTTTAATAAAGGTATCAATCACACCCAAAGCAGCATGTAATAAGACACCCAGGAGAGGACTCCACAGGTTGCCTGGAGCTAGAGGGAAGGAGCGGGCTTGGTGGGAGTCCTCTCACCTAACGTTGCTTCCTGAAAGAGATGATAGTGTATAAGCAGGGCCTGATGGCTGGGCGCGATATTAGACAACAGCGGCAGGAAAGGCGGATGTCCTCCACAGGGCACAGGCTGGAAGGGGCAGTGCGTGCCTGAAGGAGTGTTTGTGCCCGGAGCCTGGGTAGCTCCTCAGCCTGGCTGGGGCACACCACTGGCCTCTCCTCTCTCTCATACCATAGGGCTCAGGGGCAAGGAGCCCTGAGCCTTGAGTGGAGCCTCCATCCCAGGCCTCCCTCACCTCTCCTCTCCTACCTCCTGCAGCTCCAGTGCCCCGGCACCAGGCCGCCGTGCAGGCTGCCGGCTCCAGTTACCGGCTCCCAGCTGGGCCGTGAGCTCGCACCGGCAGCTCCGGGCGCTCAGCTCCGACACCCGATCAGCTCTGGGCAGGCAGCTGCCCCAGGGGGCCGGGGATGAGCCGAGGGAGGAGACAGGCTGGCAGCGGGGCTGCCCGTTGGCCACAGGCTCTGGCGGGAAGACACCTACTCTCTACCCATCATCACTGGACTGATTTCAGTTTCTGGAACGAGCCGTGATCTTGCTGTCCTCCCAGCCTTTGTACTTGCTGTTTCCTCTGCCAGGAGTCCTCTTTTGAACCCCATGTCACCTCCAACCGACTCACTCACCCCATCTCATGCCTACTCACTCTTGAGGTCTTTGCTGCAACATCACCCCCTCCTCCAGGAAGCCCTCCTGGGATGCCCCCAGGCTGGTCAGGTGCCACCTCTGAGCTCCTTCATTGCTCTGTGCCCTCGTCGTTCCCCATAGCACCCCAACCACATTATGACACCTTTGAGTGGCCACATGTTTGCGTCCATCACTAACTACGAGTAGGGAATCGTGTCTTCTTTGTTCTTCAGGATCTCCCCAGAACACAGTAGGTGCTCTACATGGTACTCAAGGCCACCGGCCTCAATGATCTTGTGTAGTTTATCTCTCCCACCCCGTGTTTGTAACTTTATAAACTTTTAAAATGTGCAGAAGAAAGATTCTTGGTGTAGAAGCAGGAGTTCTGGATCCTTGTCCCCCCTGGCTATGTCCTTATTGGGGGCGAGAGGACATCAGTTTACTCATTTATAAAACAAGGGAAGGGGGGTACTGATCGCCTATGCACTTCATTCTAGAAATGACTGGAGACCTCTCAAACAGATGGCGGCCCCAAACTGCACAGCCCCTTCCCTGCCCCTGGGAGTTTGAACTAGGAACGCCGCACCGCCTCTGCTAGGAGTTAAGATGGCGCCTGCGGAATCAGCAACACGCGCATGCGCCCTGGAGGAAGAAGCCGGGAGCGTAGAAAAAGAACGCGGCTCCTCCTTCCGCCCCGTACCGCCCCATTTCCGGCGGAAGCGGCCTCAACAAGGGAAACTTTATTGTTCCCGTTGGGGCGGCGAGGATGTCGGTGAATTACGCGGCGGGGCTGTCGCCGTATGCAGACAAGGGCAAGTGCGGCCTCCCCGAGGTGAGCGCGGCCCGGGGCCCCGAAATCTGCTCTCAGGGCCGCGGGCTGGGAGGGGCCGGCCGGCAGCGGGGCATTGTGGGAGCATCAGGAGGCACTGAGGTTAGACAATGGGAGGGACTTCCCAGTGAGGAGGGGGCGGGAAGTGACGACCCCTGCGCGCCCGGAGACACGAACACGCCCAGTTCTGGGTCGGCCGGGCTGGGACTGAGGTCGGGGAAGGCCTGAAGGCTGGTGGGGGGAGGAGGGCACGTAGTTCGAGGCGGAGGCAATAGTCGGGGCAAAGGCAGGAAGGTAGAATAAACACACTCGGATAACAGATTAGGCCGAAGAGATTTTCAGAGGCCGACCAGGACGGGCCTCAAATGGCAGGGTGGGAGCTGGCCCTTTATTCTGAGGGTGATGGGGAAGGGTTTTGAGCTGCGGAGGGACCGACCGGACCGAAAGATCCCTCTAGCCACTCCCAGAGGAAATGGAGTAACAGTCTGTCCCCTCCACCTACTGGGGACCTTAAGCAGGTCACTTCCTTTCTGGGCTTCCATCTCCCCTTCTGTAAGCTGAGGGACAATATGGTTCCCATCTCATCAAGACTGGCCCATTCTTTCCTAAGCATGCATTTAATAAACTCTCAGATGGTGTGAACCCTCCTGTTATTCATCTTATCCCACATTTATGGAGCACCTACTGTGTACCAGGAGTCCCTAGGTGGTACAAACGGTGAACGTGCTCAGCTGCTCCCAAAAGAGGCACCTCGGAAGAAAGCCCTGGTGATCTACTTCCAAAAAATATGCCATTGAAAACCCTATGGGGGCACCGTTCTACAGTGATACCCATGGGGTCACCATAAGTTGGAGTCGACGGCAACTGTGTAGGGAACAAGTCAGATAAAACCCTCTCATTCTACTGGGGGAGACAGACAAGAAACGAATGAATGTAATAAGTCAGATGGTGGTAAGAGCTATGGAGAAAAAAATCTGGCAAGCGGATGAGGAGAGCTGGGGGTGTTCGGAAAGGCAGCATTGAAACTGGGCAACCAGGGAGGTCTCACTGAGGAGATGACATTTGAGCCAAGACCTGAAGGAGGTGAGGGAGTGGTTTGTGTGGTGATCTGAGGGAAGAGCACTCCAGGCAGAGGGAGCAGCTCGTGCAAAGGCCCTGAGGCAGGACTGTGCCTGGTGAGTCGGAGGAACAGTGAGGAGGCCCCTGAGGCTGGAGTCGGAGGAACAGTGAGGAGGCCCCTGAGGCTGGAGTGGAGTGAGCGAGGGGGAGAGCGGAGGAGAGGAGGGCAGGGCAGGGCCGGGACAGGCCAGGGAGGACTTTTACCAAATAAGGTGGGAGCCATGGTGGGCTCTAGGCAGAGGAGGGACGCCAACCCTTTCTCCTCCCTCTGAGCCCTGCACGGCAGCCCATCTGTGGCTCTTGGTCTCCATGCTTGCAGGATGCGTTCCAACCCCGCCCTCCCGTTCTTTCCCGACAGATCTTCGACCCCCCGGAGGAGTTGGAGCGGAAGGTGTGGGCGCTGGCGGAGCTGGTCTGGCAGTCCTCCAACGTGGTCGTCCACACGGGCGCCGGCATCAGCACCTCCTCGGGCATCCCCGACTTCAGGTCTGTGTGCTCCGAGGGGAGGTCGAGGCAGAGCCCGCCACGGGCTTCCCTGTCAGCTCATAGATGCCTGGACACCTGGATCTGTCCCGCTGTCTGTCCCCTTGCCGGGTCATGGGCCATCTGTCCTCTGTGGGGTTGGGAGGGTGTTGAGAGGTTGACCTCTCCCTTTCAGACTTGTCCTTTAACGAGTTATGCCCAACATTCCACTTGCACCCCATTGGTCAGAATTTGGTCACCTGATTAAACTTAGCTGCAAGGGATGCTGGGAAATGTAGTCTTTAGCCATCCGCGCGCATGACCAGCACTCAGCTGCTAGCTGAAAAGTCGGCGATTTGAACCCATCAGCAGCTCTTCGGGAGAAAAGACCTGGTGATCTGCTCCCAAGACTACAGCCAAGAAAACCCTATGGGGCAGGCTCTGTTATCATACAGGGTCGCTATGAGTTGGAATCCACTCAGTGGCACCCAACATTACCATGGAGGAGTGCTTGGGTGGTGTGCACGGTTAATGTGCTCAGCTGCTAACCGAAGGTGCCTTGGAAGAAAGGCCTGGCAATCTACTTCTGACAAATCAGCTATGGAAACCCTATCGATAACTTGTGTAGAAATTGTTGAATGGGAGCCTAAACTGCTGTGTAAACCTTCGCTGAAAACACGATAAAATATTATTTAAAAAAAATAGCTCTACGGACACACGAGGTCGCTGTGAGTCAGGGTCGACTCAAAGGCAACTGGCTTTATTACCACAGAAGATGGGGGAGAATGGATGCTGGGGAACAATTATCTCCGCGCTCACTTGCAAAGATTTTCTTATAGGACCTGGTGTTAACTGCGTGACCGCAGGCAAGTGGCTTAACCTTTCTAGGCTTCAGTTTCCTCACCCCTAAGTGAGGGAGTGAGCCCAGCTGATGTCTAAAGTCCCTTCTACTTCCGGCAGCCTGTGTTAGACAAGCGTCTTGCTGTTGAAAAGCCAGGGTCTCAAACTCACAGCCCCTGTGTGGCCCCTTGAGGTGCTGGGTTTCCAACGCCTCTCCACACCAGAAAGAAACCAAACTCATTGCTGATTTCAACTCAGTGACCCTATAGGACAGATTAGAACTGCCCGATAGGGTTTCCAAGGCTGTCATCTTTATGGAAGCAAACCACCATATCTTTCTCCCATCGAGCGGCTGGTAGGTTTGAACCACTGACCTTTTGATAAGCAGCTGAGTGCTTTAACCACTACGCCAGTGGGCCTCTTGTATTATCCCAAGGTGTGAATCTGGTTGTGCCCTTCCCTTGCTCCAGAACCTGCCATGGCTCCCCGTTGCCACACAGTAGTGTCCCAATCTCCCCAGGTTGGGAGTTGAAGCCCTTCCAGACCCAGCCCTGGGTCATCTCTCCAACCTGAACGCCTGCTGCCCCCGCTGAGCTCCCCAAACAACTTGAATTTCCCCAAACTCATGGGCCGTTGCTAGCCGCCCGTCCAGTGCTTACCTCTCTGCCTGGACTGTCCTTCCCTTCCCTTCCCTTTCACACTTCAAGACACAGCTCACCCTTCTCCAGGAAGCCCTCCCACACTCCAGGCCGAGTGCACACCCCTCTGGGTGCCCCAAGCCCTGCGTCCCTCCCTCTGCCCCAGCCCTGACCCCAGAGAGCTGGAGGGTCTGTGTCCAGCTGGGTCTCCCCCGACAAGATCGAGGTCTCCTCGAGGGCAGGGTCTCAGGCTGGGTCCACTCGGGCCCCAGCATCACCCGGCACAGGGCCAGGTGCAGTGGGGCGACGGTGAGTGCTGGCTGAATTGATTAATTGCCAAGTGTTCTCTCTCCATCTCTGTCTGTCCCTGTGGGTTTGTCTCTGCTCCCTTTCCGACCCCGTCTTTCTCTGTTCCCCTAAGCTAACTCCTCGCCTCTCTGTTTCTCCCTAAATTCTCGCTTTCTTTCTGTTTGTCTCTGTCCCTCTCCATTTCTCCTTTTCTGTCTCTGCTTCTCTCCCTGTCTCTGCTTCTCTCTCTGTCTCTTTCTGCCCCCTTCTCTCTCTGGTCCCCTAAACTCTGTCTCTCTGCGTCTCTCCCCACCTGCCACTGCTAGGGGCCCGCATGGCGTCTGGACCATGGAAGAGCGGGGACTGTCCCCCAAGTTCGACACCACCTTTGAGAACGCCCGGCCCTCGCGGACCCACATGGCGCTGGTGCAGCTGGAGCGGGTGGGCCTCCTCCGCTTCCTGGTCAGCCAGAATGTGGACGGGCTGCACGTGCGCTCTGGCTTCCCCAGGTAGCCCCGCCCCGCCTGCCCTGGCCCCACCCATCCTGCCATTACCCCACCCCGCCCCGCCCCGCCCCGCCCCAGGTCTCCCTGAGCCTCAGCTGCCTCCTCTGTAGAATGGGGTTGATGGAGCCCCTGCCTCACAAGTCGGCCGGGGAGAAGCGCTTGGCGCTAGTGGGGGCTGGCAGATCAGAGCTGTCATTATTGCCACCAGGTCTTGTCCCCATCTGTTGGACAGGGCTTGAGTTTTGGGGTCCCTTTCTGCAAGTCCCAGGGGGTTTCCAGCCCTGAGCTCCCCAGATCTCTCAGCCCGGCGTGGGGAGGTTTCTGAGCTCCCCGCCACCCTCAGCATTCTGCTGGGTCACTCCACTCCCATCCTTGTGGCTGGGGCTGGAGGCAGGGACAGAGTCTCCCTTGCGGTGGGAAATCAGGCTGGGGTGGGGAGGCTGGTCAGGGTCTAGAACTTGCAGTTGGTTAGGGTTTAACAGTCATCCCTATTCCGTTTATCCTACGTGTGCACGTTGCGTTCTGGAGCAGAGAGAATTAATAGTATGTGCACCCCCTCCACTGTGCCCCAGGTGCTACCCTGGAAGGAGGGAATGGACGGATCCCTTCTTGGAAAGAGGTTCAGGAAGGCTTCCGGAAGGAGGGCTTAGCCCCGGGCCTGCAGCGGTTGGGCCCTCCGCCACCCGGCTTTTCCTTCTCCCCCCCCCAGGGACAAGCTGGCTGAGCTCCACGGAAACATGTTTGTAGAAGAATGTGTCAAGTGTAAGACGTGAGTGGGCCTGGGCTGCAGCGGCGGTGAGCATGGCCAGGTTGCCCCCCAGGCTGCCAGAAGTGTGGGCCACCCAGCCCCACCCCTGTCTTCTGTCACTCCCCAGGTTGGGCTCTGTAAAAGGGCCCTCTAAGCTGGGGCTGATGTCCCCAGAGACCCAGAGGCTGTGACTGTCCTGTGGGGGAAATTGGGTGTCACCCACTTGGGGAGTATGGTGGTGTGACTCTCCTGGGGGGATGGGGGTGTGACTCTCCTGGGGGATACTCCTGAAGGAAGAATGGGGTGTGACTTTCCTGGGGGTGTGGCCTAGGGGACTGGGGTGTGACACCCCCCCCCCGGGAAGGCTGAGCGAGAGCCCTTCCCTGGAGCAGGTGGGATCCGGGCATGCCCCCTCCGCTCTCTCAGGTATGTCTGTGTAGGGGTAAGGTGCTTCCCCTCAGCAAGGGGAATCTCTGAGGCCAGATACCATATGGGGTCCCCACTTTTTTTTTTGTAGTTTAAATGAAGTTTACATTTCAAGTTAGTCTCCCATACAAAAATTTATGCATACATTGTTATGTGATCCTAATTGCTGTTCCCATACTGTGACAGCACACTCCTTGTTTCCACCTGATTCCCCATGTCCATTCAGCCACCTCCTAACCCTCTCTGACTTCTGATCTCACCTCCGGACAGAAGCTGCCCGTTTAGTCTCTTGTATCTACTTGAGCTAAGAGGCACACTCCTCACAAGTATCACTTTATGTCCCACAGTCCAATCCAACAAGAGTTGGCCTTGGAAATTGTTTTAGTTCTGGGCTGATAGAGAATCCAGGGGCTGTGCTTTCTGGGGTTCCTCCAGTCTCAGACCATTAAGTCTGATCTTCTTACAAGAATTTGAGTTCTGCACTCCACCTCTCTCCTGCTTCATCCGGGACTCTCTGTTGTGTTCCTGTCAGGGCGGTCATTGGTGGTAGCTGGGCACCGTCTAGTTCTTCTGGTGTCAGGCTGATGAAGTCTGTGGTTTATGTGGCCCTTTCTGTCTCCTGGGCTAATACTTTCCTTGTGTCTTTGGTGTTCTTCATTCTCCTTTACTCCAGGTGGTTGGGACCAATTGATGCATC